ATCTTGGGCGTCACGGAGCCGTCGGAGTGCTGGAGGTACTCGATGGTCACCTGGGTCTTGCCGTCGGGGCGGAGCCACCAGAGCGACCCGTCCTTGCGGACCTCCGTGAGCACCTTGCCGAGGCGCGTCGCCATGAGGTGCGTGAGGGGCATGCAGTTCTCCGTCTCGTCGGACGCGTAGCCGAACATGATGCCCTGGTCGCCGGCGCCGACGTCGAGGTCGCTCTTGCCCACGTGGACGCCGCCGGCGATGTCGGGCGACTGCTTATTGATGCGGACGAGCACCTCGCACGAGTCGCACGACAGGCCCTTGGAGTCGACGGAGCCGAGGTCGTCGACGAAGGAGTCGAAGCCGATCTTCTTGACCTCGTTGCGCACGATGGCGTCGTAGTCGAGATTCGCCTTCGTCGTGATCTCGCCGAAGACCATGACCATGTTGTCCTTCGTCGCCGTCTCGCACGCGACCTTGGAGTAGGGGTCCGCCGTGAGGCACGCGTCGAGCACGGCGTCCGAGACCTGGTCCGCGACCTTGTCGGGGTGGCCCTCGTTGACCGACTCGGACGAGAAGAGGAAGACGCGCTCCTGCGGGCGCGGCGGAGATTCGGCGCGCGGCGCTCGGGGGGCACGAGGGCGGGATGCGGCGGCGCTCGGCGGCGGCGCGGCGCGGGCGGCGCCCGGGGGGCGCGCGGGAGCGTCGGGGGTGCAACCGGGCGGGGGCGTCGGGCGCGCGGGCGAGGCGGCTGGCTAGCCGAAGCGCTTTCGGCGAAAGTCCCCCCCGACGCCCGCGGCGTAGCCGCGCGCGGCCCTCGCGCGCAGAAGTAGGTCCACGGACGCCGGTACCGACCTCGGCGGCGACGCGCTGTTTCTTGGCGACGGCGGCGGACATGGTTTAGTTTGAGCGGGTTGGCTGTGTCGGCGAGGAGATGTGGCGCGGCGAATGTTGGACTGCTACGATCGTCACCTCTGGAAACATTCGATTGTTGCAGCCGAAAAAGCAAACAAACCAAAGGCTTGGCAGCCAAACCCAGTTCAGAGAGCATGGCGGAAGAATGTCAGCTCCGCGGGGCTGCCCTCGGCCCATATCGCATCATCTGGAGCGCCGATTGCTGCGTCGGGTCCACCCATGGTGGTGGCTCGGGGACGGGCCGCTCTACGCGGTTGCATGCCCTCGTTCGCGAGAACGCGGCGGCCCAGAAGTCGTCGTGTCGAGGCTGAGAGATCTGCGATGCTCTGCGGAATTGCACGATCGACGACGCCCGACGAAGTGCGGCGCTTCACCCCCGGCCCAGAGGTCCCCCCAGGCGGGGCAACGCGCTCGGAGACCCCGGACGGCCGTGTCGATGACTTTTGGGCTTTGACGCGTCGACGGTCAACACGACGTCGCGGAGACGCGCGGCCAAGATCGAGGATTCAGAGACTCTGTCGCGCGCGAGCCGTCCGTGGCACGAGTCGCACGTGCCTGTGGGCTGGCCGCGCGTGGAATCCCTCCGTGGCTGATCATGATCGCGGTGGTGCCCCTGGAGCAGTGCTTGGGCAGCACTCCGCGGGACAACGCGCCGCGGCGCTCGGGCTGGAGGCGAAGCCGAGGGAGCTGCGGGCGCCGTGCGCGATGCCGGTCGACAGCGTGCGCCAGCAGAGCGCGGCGGCGCCGAGACGACCGAGGAGGAGCGCGTCGGCGCGCTCGGGCAGGTCCGCGGACTGGGCCGCGCGGCAGCCGCGGACTCCGGCGGGGGCAGCCCCTCGGCGGCGCCGCGGGTTAAGAGTAGAATCTTAAGCGCGACGCGCGACGGCGTCCTCTCCGGGCCGGAAGAGCGGACCGCGTGTCTTGTCCGTGTTCGACGCGCGCGTGCACGAGCCGACCTCGTACGGGATCGCGGACGGGTCAGCGCGGCGCTTCTTCGGTCCAGGGGCCTTGGGGACCCCGACGTCGGGGTTGAGCGGGCACGTGGCCGCGTTGTGCCTCGCGAAAGGCCCTTGCGCCGGCGTCTGGATCTCGAGCTTCTCACAGCACTTGCACATCCCGACGGCCTTCTTTTTCGCAGCGGCCGTCGCGGGCGCGTTCGTCGTCGTCTCCGCCGCCGCCCCGGCGTTCGTCGTGTCGCCCAAAGCGGTGCCCGTCGTCAGGTCCATGAGCTGCGGGCAGACCTCGAACCTGCCGCCCGGGAGCTCGAGTCCAGAAAACGCTTCGCCGCAGACGACGCAGTTCGAGCCCGTCGCGTGGAGCTTCCTCCAGCACGCGTAGCAGACGCAGGCGTGGTCGTGCGTGTTCGAGCTGCTCGTCCCCGGCCGGCACGGGACCGCGGCGGCGCCGCACGACGGGCAGGTCGCGGCTTCCGCGAGCGCGGCGTTCTCGCCCAAATTTTTTAGATGCGCGACCAGCGAGTGCACCGCGGCCGAGAGCTCGCCGCGTTTGAGGGAGCGCACGGCGGTAACCGACGACGCCGCGTACGAGTTCAGCCCGTGCGCCGCCGCGGCCGCGACCTGCGACGGCTCCAGCAAGCTCACCAAATCCTCGACCGACGACGTCGACCCCTCGCGCGTCGCGCGCGGCCGCTTCTTCGGCGCCACGTCCGAACGCGCCTCGGCCCGTGCTGCCTCGAGCTGCGGGCTCCCGTCGGGGTAGTGCTCGAGCAGGTAGGTGCTCACGTCGTTCTCCGACGCCGTGTTCCCAAAGCGTGCGTCGCGATGCCCCGGTAGCGTGTGGCCCTCCGCGATCACCCACTTCAGGATCTTGACCATGACCTCGGAGTGGGCGTTGTCGACCTTGTAGGAGCAGAACTTCTTCGCGAGGGCCTCGTAGAGGATCGACGGCAGCTCGCCGCCGGCGACGATGCCGCCCGGCTCGCCCTCGAGCGCGACCATGTCCACGGCGTCCCGCAGCGGCTTGGACCGGAGCAGGCCGAGGATCTCCACGTGGTTGACGAGCGCCAGCTCCTTGGTGGAGAGCGGCGAGGGCGCGTCGTCGGCCGTCGGCCGCGCGTCGGCTCCGGCGCCGCGTGCGACCGTCGACGCGGCCGCGGGGGGCCACAGCTGCCGGCCCAGGGCGCGGGCGTACGGGGCCCGGCGGTCCTTGTCGAAGAAGAAGCTGTGGGACCACGGGAGGCAGAGCACGTAGTCGTAGCGGTTGATGATGTACTCGATGAGCTCCTTCGTGTAGTTCTTCGCCAAGTTGTCCACGGCGTGCTCGAAGCCCAAGGGCTTGGCGTAGGCGTAGGCGTCGTCAAAGAGCCCCGACGCCTTCGGGTCGATCGCGACAGCGACGTACTTGGCCACGAGGTTCATGACGTGCGTCCCCAGCTCGTTGAAGCGGAAGCCCCCGTACGTGTGGCCCCACTTGAGCGACGCGTGGACGACGGCGTAGTTGAGCGCCGCGAGCACGGATGTGTGCAGCAAGAACTCGGGCTTGGAGAGCAAGTAGTAGCACCGCGACGCCCCCTCGTCGCGCAGGGCGCGGAGCTTCAGTAAGAGATCCCGAGTCGACGTCGACGCGTCCTCGCCCAGGCCCAGGCTCAGGACGATAGCGACCATCAGCAGCCCCTTGTTCGCCCAGATGTACGCGGCAGCGAGCATGTAGGACTCGAAGCGCACATCCATGCACTCCTCCGGCTTCAGCAGGCCCAGGTACTGCAGATGCTCCACGAGTTTCTCACTTCTGAGATGCTTGATGCATGCCTCCAGCATCCGTTCGAAGACAGAATTTCCTGATGTTCTGTTGAATTTTTCGTCGTCGACGCTGTTCCGGTTCACGGCAGTCGACGCCCCGTCTGCTGTAATGTGCGCGTTGCAGTCGGCATCTACCAACGTCGCCGCAGCAGCCGTCGCAGTCGCCGCTGCCGCCGTCCGACCCCGCGTTCCGTGGCCCCGCATTCGCTCCTCTTCCGCCTTCTTTTCCAGCTCCTCCTTCCCCATCTCGCGCAGAACGTTCCCCACCGCCGCCTCGCCGCCGTCGCGCGCGTAGAAGAGCACGTCGGCCACGGTCAAGCCGACGAGCGCGAGCGCCTCGCGGGCCTTCTTCGCGAGCGTCGTCGCCTTCTTCCCGTCGCCGCCGAACGTGAGGCCGAGCGGCATCGTCACGACGGCGATGTCGGCCTTGTCCAGCCATGGGATGATCCCGCTGGCGCCGCCGTACGCGCCGTCGGCCTTCTCCGCGCGCGCGATGTACGCGTGGAGGGTCACCGCGTTGCAGAGGTCGGCGACCTTCATGTTGTCCGCCAGCACGACGCCGTTGATCTGGAGCGTCACGTCGCCGGGGCCCAGGCCGCGGCCGAGCAGCGGCACAGTACCGCTCGTCAAAAGCAGCTTGACATGCTTCATGGTGAGTCGTCGAGAGATGGTCATGACGACGCTCTTCCCGGTCCTGTCGACGACGGACACGTCGAGGACCATGTCGTGACGCAGCGGCCGCGACGGCGCTGCCGACGCGCAAGCGTGAGCGGCTTCGGCGGCCGCCGATGCGCTCAAAAGGTAAAGCATCAATCGCCGCCGGTCTTGCACTTCAACACGCCGTAGCGACTACCTCGCAGCGGCGCCGGACCTCAGTTTAATTTCCCCTTGTACTCGCGATGGACGGCGTCCATGTCGAAGACGCGGGCGGGCGCCGGCGACGGGTAGGGAGACGGCACAGAGCCGACGCCGGGCGAGTCCCACTCCGCGTGTTCGCGTGCGGCGCAGAGGGCCTCGTCCAGACGGGCGGCAGAGACGACGCCCGTGCGCTTCTCCGGGGTCCCCCAGATCGAGGCCTGCTCCTGGAGCGGCGCGAGCGCGGCGGCGCCCGCATCTGCCGCCGCCGCGTACTTGGCGCGTTTCGTCGGCGACGCGGTGCGCACCGCCTCCGTCGCGGCGGCCGCGAACGCAGGTAAGGTCTGGTTCTCGCGGACACGCTCGTCGGCGACCATCAGCTCCACGGCAGACCGCGACTGCCGGAGCGTCGGTTGATGGGGGTTGAGCATCGCGCGCGAGCACTTCGTGTAGTTCTGCTGCTTCTCGTTCCACCACTTCTTGTCCGCGAGGTACTTCTCCGTCTGCTCGGGCTTGGACGCGTTGTAGGCCTTGCCCGCGGTCTTGTACGGCTCCCTCTCGACCTTGGACATCATGCGCCACCTGTGCCAGGACACGTCGAACACGTGATTCAAAACAAGACGCGGCGGCGTGCTCTGCCGCGACCTCGACGCTCTCCTTCTCGAAGATCTCGTTGGCGGGCGTGCGCTTCCGCTTCAGCTCCGCCCGAACCGCCGGCCCACGCGCCCGCTTGAACGCCTGGTAGCTTGCGCCGTTCGCGTGGCCCGTCGGAGCCTTTGTCGGGCAAAAATCCAACGTGCCGGACCGCGCGTCCTTCTCCTCGTCGGCGAGCTGCTTCTGCGCGTAGCCGCAGGTCTTCTTCGGGAAGAGCTCCCGCACGTCCGTGCTCACGCCGACGTGGATCGCCCAGGCCTGGCCGCCGACCGGTTTGCTGCCCGGCGCCGTCCCCGTTCCGCCGTCGCCGGCCAGGCAGATCGAGTAGACCTCGCCCAGGTCGCCGGACAGGATCTTCTTGTAGCACATCAGCTCCAGTCGATGGACGAGCGCCTCCTCAT